AAATCAAATAAATAAATAAAATCACAACTAAATCAAATAAATAAATAAAATCACAACTAAATAAAATAAATAAATAAAATCACAACCAAATAAAATAAATAAATAAAATCACAACTAAATAAAATAAATCAATAAATCACAACTAAATAAAATAAATAAATAAATCACAACTAAATAAAATAAATAAATCACAACTAAATAAAATAAATAAATAAATCACAACTAAATAAAATAGATAAATAAATCACAACTAAATAAAATAAATAAATAAATTACAACTAAATAAATGACAGACAGACAGACAGACAGACAGACAGATAGATAGATAGATAGATAGATAGATAGATGGAACAAATAAATAATGATAAATAGATTATTTTAACATCCCTCCAAGTGTACTTCATGTGTGAAGATGATGAAAATGGTCATCGGAAATTAAATTACGACTGATTCTAGAGGAAAATGTGGAGTTCTACAGAGAGAAAAAAAAATTCAAATACTACAGAATATGGCCACTTTATATGAAACATCAGCATACCGTTGTCTCCTCCTCCAAAGGACCAGACGATTCGTCCATCTTGAGCCACAGCGATGGTGTGAGAGCTGCCACAGGCCACTTGCCCGACCCCACTGATGTCCTTCACTAGAGTGGGCACGTTACGACTGTGACTGTCGCTGTGACCTACATGACAGGCAGACAGAGGAAAAACGAGACTGAGACACACAGGCAGAACTTCTGACACAACAGTCTGACTCAGTCTGAGGGATCAGGCGTCTCGTTTACTGCCTGGCAAATTATTTCTCTATGGATTAAAAAGAGAAAACTCTGAGCAGTGTGCACTGTGCACAGCAGTCATTCAAAACATAAAAACCAACTCCCAGAAATCAATAGTGTATTGTATTTCACTGACAACACTACATCTAAGAATAGATCCTCAGGCCTCAGGTAGGTGTGTGTGTGTGTGTGTGTAGTGATGTTGATGGTCTGTAAGAGGAGAATGATGTACCAAGTCGACCGAAGTCGCCTTCCCCCCAGGTGTACAGCTCTCCGTCATTAGTCACCGCAGCGCTGTGTCTGTATCCAGCAGACACACACACCACCACCTGCAATACACACACAGGAAACACGCACACTTTGACAAATGCAATGATGAGATTTGTTACATTTTTTACAAATATTAGTGATTGTTAGAGTGTTTTGTCGTTACATGGGCATTGCTATGTGATTGCTAGGTTGTTTTGGTTGATTTTAGAATCTTGCTATGCAGTTGTTAAGGTGTTCTGTGTTTATTAGGGCATTGCTATATGCTTGCTAGGGTGATTTAATTGATTTTTAGCATGTTATGTAGTTGCAATGAAATTTAGGGGTTGCTAGGGGATTGCTATGTAGTTACTAGGGTGTTTTGGTTGATTTTAGAATGTTGCTATGCATTTGTTAGGGTGTTCTGTGGTTACTAGGGCACTGCTATGTGGTTGCTAGGGTGATCTGGTTGATTTTTGTAGCATGTTATGTAGTTGCTATGGAATTTAGGGGTTGCTAGGGCATTGCTAAGAGGTTATTATGGTGATTTGGTTGATTTTAAAATGTTGCTATGCAGTTATTAGGGTGTTCTGTGGTTACTAGGGCATTGCTATGCAGTTGCTAGGGTGATTTGACTGATTTTTAGCAAGGTCCGCGAGCTGGTACTCGAACTTAGGACGCTTGAAGTGCAACGGCGCTATATTTTGGGGCGCTGCCCACGAGGATATTGGCACCAACAATCTGGTTGATTTTTAACACATTATGTTTCTATGGTGTTGCCAGGGTGTTGCTATATGGTTTCTAGGGTTTTCACATGTTGCTATTCAGTCGCTAGAGTGTTTTGTGTTTGCTAATGCATTTGTATGTTGTTTCTAGGTTTTCTGGGTTTGCTAGGGCAAGGCAATGCAGTTGCTAGGGTGTTGTGGTTGCTAGGGCGTTGTTGGGTGGGTGCTAGACTGTTCTGGGTGATTGCTATGCAGTTTCGATTGTGTTCTTGATTTGCTAGGATGATACAGTGGTGTTACAGGTTGTTGCCGGGTGTATACATTCTATATTCTGAAATATTTTAGCATGTTGCTATAGTCAATAGGGATATTGCTATGTGGTTTCCAGGGTGTTGCTATATGGTTGCTAGGGTCTTCTAAGTGATTTCAGCATGATGCTATGCAGTTTATGATGCAGTTTATTTTTTTTGCTAGGACACTGCTATGTGTTTCCTAGAGTGTTCTGGAGGATGGCTAAGTTGTATATCGTTTCTAGGGTGTTGCTAGGTGGGTGTTAGGGTTTTCTGGAATGTTATCTACTGATCCGAGTCAAAAGAGCTCAGGGAAATGCTTTCAATTAAGACACTCACATCCAAACATACCAATAATAATAACTTCTGCATGTAGAAAACACACTTTCTCACCTTTCCTAACAGTGGGCCTTGAATAATCTTGGGGTATTTCTGTGTGGCGCTGTTCCCGTGGCCCAGTTTGCCGTAATCTCCATCTCCCCAGCTGAACACCTCTCCCTCCACCGTGACAGCCAGCGTGTGTCCGTCTGATCCCTTGGAAGACGACACCTTCCTCATGGTACGAGGTGGCTCCAGAACCAGCTTCTTTGGCATGGACTGGTTATTAGAGTCTCCTAGTCCAAGCCGCCCATAACTACCCTTCCCACAAGCCTTCACTGCACCATCTGCAGATACAGAGAACGTGCAGTACTGGCCTGCCTCAATCTGCAGGTGGAAAGAGAAGAGTACCGTTTAGAGCCAAGTCAATTGAATCAACCGTGATAGAGATTGTCTAAACTGTATTAGTGAAAGGGCACAGTTTATTAAGATGTGGCTACTGTTTTCCAAATTGCATTTCTCAATAATAATGAAAAGACATGTCTATATTAAATAGCAGAGACTTCAGATTAGTCTTTGCACACCACATACTCCGTTAGTTAGAGAGGAAACAAAGAAATTTAGTTCAATAAGATGGTCTATTATTATTTATAATGCAGTCAGTAACCAATATGAAACTGACTGCATTATAAACTATATACTGTTTAAATATCTAACTAAATAAATACATTCTTGTGGCCTCTTAAAGCTGTAATAAAAGGCACAAAAATCTTACATTAAATAAAACATAAATAAATAAAACAAAACAATAAATAAATATATATATAAATTAACAAACCTATGCCCTTTAAAATTAGACAAAATATGCCCTTATATTTTCAAATTTCAATATGCATATTTAATTTGATAATTTTACAGTAAACAATTTAGCATGCAAATAAATAAATACATAAATAAATACATCTCCCCATCACTTCTTCTCACCTCTTAAAGCTGTAAATAAATAAATAAATGTATGTTTAAAGGGGTCATATGATGCTGCTAAAAAGAATATTATTTTGTGTATTTGGTGTAATGAAATTATTTTCCACATACTGTACATTATTGTTTCTCCTCTATGCCCCGCCTTTCTGAAATGTGTCGATTTTTACAAAGCTCATCGGTCTGAAAAGCGAGGTGTGCTGTGATTGGCCAGCTATCCAGTGCGTTGTGATTGGCCGAATACCTCAAGCGTGTGAAGGAAATGTTACGCCCCTTACCATATTGTGATGCCCTGTCCGGCCGGAGCGACGAGACAAAAACATTAAAACCCATTATAAACGAGGCATCTGTTGCATCCAGTGGGGACATAATTACGGATTATAATGACTTATACGGTCTTTTTATGCGTTGCACCGCGTAAACATAAAACCATGTCTGCATTTGTGATTGGAGAAATGACAAACAACAAGTGCTACTCTACACTGCCCAAAAAACTCACGTTTGAATCATCAGTGGCAAATTCTTTAAATATAAAAAACGTACTTACATTCTGTAACAGTGTTGTAAATACAACTTAACCACTGATTTCTACTCGTGTCCTCTTTTGGAAGGCCAAACAAAGCAGTTTCGCTTTCACAACGAAACAACGTCACACACCGCGGCCTTGAGTGAACGGAGGCCGGAGGCCTAGAGTGAGCCGCGGCCTAGAGTATGCGGAGGCTGGCTTGAGTGAGCAGAGGCAGGGGGGCTTGCGGCAACCACATGTGACGACCCCGGGCTGGACTCCGCTTCGTCCACGGTTTTCACAATGAAACACAGCGCCTTCACGACATGGTGGCGGCGGCAACAACAATACTACAGCGAGAATAAAAGTTACGCCTTCTTTCTTTGCGTGAACATTTATGCAAATCTTCCCACATCGTGACGTAGACATGTGGGGGCGTGTTAGAACGAGTCGTTTTAGGTAGGCGTGGTTGACTCTTAACTTTTATAAAGAATATCTCTTTGGATTTGAGACTTTAGTTTTTGCAACTTTACAGATCTTCTTTATGCACCAAGAGCTTGTAACACTCCAAAGAGAAAGGAAAAATTGAAATCGCATCATATGACCCATTTAAATATAAAATACAACCGAAAAAATGAAAAAAAGCAAGTATGAAAATATATTTTAATATGCATATTTAATTAAATCATTTTATAAAATTCAATGTATATATATTTGGCCCTATATGATGCATATCATGCAGCTAACAATGTCATTTACATCTTCTGTTTTTTTCTGTCATACAGGAAAGTGGAACCGAAGTCCTCCATAATATGAAAAATTGCGGTGTTTTCCAGTTTTGTCCATCTAATATGAATGAGCTTACAGATCAGACAGAAAAATGGGACCTTTTAATTAAAAGCTCTTTTATAAAACTGTCAAATTGAGCGTTGCGATCTGTCTCATTACATTTTTCTTGGAGAGATCTGTCTACTCCTCCTCATGCTGTTTCTGTTGGAACTAATGTTAGCTTCACGACGGCTTCCAGTTATTTGGATTTTCAATACTCTTGAGTAACATAAACCCACACAAACCATTTGTGCATCGCTGAAGCCCTGAGCCAGTTTGGGCTGTAAAATCTTCTCCAGCGTTCCCTCGGCGAGTTGATGGCTGCTGTTGCTGCCCCACACGTACACCATGACGGCATCAATTTCGGAGCCGGAGGAAGAGGAAGAGCCCGCACTGCATAAGCACAGGCAGTTAGAGGCCAGGGTGCAGATCTACAACACACATGCACATATACAGATTAAAAATGTACTTATCAGAATAAATAGTGGCCAAAGTCTCTCATACTCAGCCTGAGAATTTTTTTTATAACACATAATACTACAGTCTGAGAACGCTTGTAGGTTTATTCACACAAACACACCTCTTCAAAGAGGCAAAGAGCAACATGCGAGAGGCTACAGAGTCCATCTGCATCTTTCTTCAGCACCTGAGTATTGATGGATTCACCACGAATAGCCTGCAACAACAAACAACAAATTAATCCCAATAATATTAGCAGCTACAATATATATTGCTAATTGAAATACTATAGAAACACAAAACCTGATAACATACTTAATGCATGTCACTGATACATCTATGTGATCAAGTTTTTATTCTAACAGTGTTCTAACCACAGCCTTTAGCTCTGACAAAATAAAATGGTGGCGTATTGCTTGAAGTTGCAATGAAATGGAAGTAGTGACAGATCCTTTCTCCCATATTATGATGTAAGGCTGTAATTTTCGGAACGGCGAGCTGATGGCTGCTGTTGCTGCCCCACACGTACACCATGACAGCATCATTCTCCGAGCCGGAGGAAGACCCCGCGCTGCATGAGCACAGGCAGTTAGAGGCCAGGGTGCAGATCTACAACACACACACACACACATGCAGATTAAAGATCTGCTTATCAAAATAAGAGTCATAGAAGACAAAGCCTGACAAATTTTTAATAACACTGTATATTACAGAACACTTGTAGGTTTATTTGCACAAACACACCTCTTCAAAGACGCAAAGAGCAACATGTGAGAGGCTACAGAGTCCATCTGCATCCTTCTTCAGCACCTGAGTATTGACGGATTCACCACGAACAGCCTGGAACAACAACAAATTAAACCCAATAATACTAGCAGCTGCAATATCTATGGCTAACTGAAGTATGGTAGAACCAATAAAATGTGTGGCATACTTACTGTATGCCACTGAGACATCTATGTGAAGTTTTTATTCATCGTGCCTAACCATGGTCAAAAAAAAAAGTCGGAATATAATGAAAATAGACAGATCCTCTTTCCCAAGTTATGACGTACAGCTGAGTAAAACAGATTATTAAAAACTTAAAAAAATGTAGGGTGGGGGCTTGTTTCTATCAATTGGTGGTTGAATGAATGATTAAAGGAACAGTTCACCCAAAAATTCAAATTGTCATCATTTACTCACCCTCATGTCGTTCCAAACCTGAATATGTTTCTTTCTTATGTTGAACACAAAAAGAAGATTGAAGAATTTTTAAGAACGAAACAGCTGTTGGTCCCCATTGACTTCCATAGTAGGGAAAGAAATACTATAGAAGTCAATGGGAACCATCAACTGTTTGATTACCAGCATTCTTCAAAATATTTTCTTTTATGTTCAACATAAAAAATAAACTCATACAATTTTGGAATGACATGAGGGTGAGTAAATGATGGCAATTTTCATTTTTGGGTGAACTATTCCTTTAAGAATTACGAGGTCAGAACAAATTGGAAATTGAACATATGCACAAATAAACCGTTCACAATCAGATCAATAGCACGCATTAAGAAATGGATAGGGTAAATATAACGCTTAGAATAGGATGCAATGTGTTCCAAATGATGGACTCTTTCCAAGACATCTTGGTAATGACTGGTTAATATAATTCTAAAATAAAAGCATGCATTTATGTTTTTAAATTCGCTAACACCACCCATTCAGATGGTCGATTAAATTATATGAGCACAAAGTGAAACGGCAACCCAAGTCACTTCCGTAATTGATTAAAACAAAATATTCCTAGAAAATAAAATGTAGAGTAGGATTTGTGAGGTGAAAGTGACCTGAATGCCAAAGTTGGCTAAAACGCAACATCTAAATCACTATTTGTATATTGGTTAGCATTATCCTGTGGCCCGGGTGACGTTAGCATGAAAGGAAATTAATTTATTATGTTTTGATTAAAGATTGAGAATATAGTCTCTGGCTTCATCTCACCAAAGTACTTAACCAGTTAGCGTTTCAGAGAACGAATTAATTTTGAACTCAGGAGTAGGAAAATCTTTAAACAAACAGTTCCTTTAGTACAGGGAACAAGTTCTGCTGAACTTCAAGCACTAAAGCCTTGAAGTAGACATATTTCCCATGGATTAAGACATCAATAAATTAGAGCACGGCACATGGCAGGTCTGGTGTGGCTCAGGCGGCTTTCAGAGCTGGGAAGACGGCCAAGAGCTCCTGGTCAATTGAAAGCCAAAATCTTATTTAGAGCAAGGAGAAATGTTCAAATCATTCCTGCCCTCCATGAGAGGAATACAGAATAATGGTAAACTACTGTATGGCGGTAATGTATTAGCAGTAGCAATTAGCAACAACGATTTGCTTTAAATGCAGAGGGAGGGATGAACAAATGGAGGAAAGTGTCCTAGCTGACCGCTAGGTCAGCCGCATGGTGCAAGAACACACCGTGTGCTGGCGCATCTGTTGCAGGGTTTGATGGATCAGCTCGTAACCCACTCCAACTGTTTCAGACGTGGTGGAGGAAGCGGAGGCAGCCAGCGCCACCTCCACCCACTCCAGAAGGAAGCGCAAGGATCCTCTTTGTAAGGCTAACGAGAGGAGGAGCTCCAGGGATAGCCTGCGACCCGCCCGATCCGCCCCGGATCCGCTGACCGCCGTCTTCTTTAGGAAGTCTCCAACTTGTGTAAGACAGTCAAGCCCCACTGTCGGGATCTTGTTCTCGTTGGCCAAGGAAAGAGGAGGCAGGGCGGCCAGGACTGAAGACGCTGTTGCCAGTACCTCATTGCACAGAGCAACGTCCGGTGGGTTCTCAAGACTCCCACGCTGCCAACTCTGCCTCAGTAGGGCAAAAAGGAGACTCAACCCAGTCCGGACTCCCATTTCAATAAGAACGTCTGTGCCCGACTTTGAACGGGAACTGCCTGTTGGCCAAGGCTCAGACACTGACTCTAGAGTGCCCCCTTCTGCACTGGAGGATGAGGGCTGGGGAGGCAGCGGTGCTCGGAATCGGTCGTGATACTTGCTATGGAGGGAGTAGAACACCCTCTGGAGGATCATCAGTCTGTGGTGCAGGGATAGGGCAAAGGGGGTCCTCGCCAGCATGCATTGGGCAAGGCATCGCTGACTGTGGAGCAGCGCGGACAGATATTCCTCCTTCTCCTCCTCAGCGCTGGATTCGTACTGGAAGTCAGGCAAGCGTGGACCCATTAGGTCCTGCACTGGTTGGGCCAAGCCCACAACCTCCTTGTTGTAGACCAGTTTTGCATAGAGAGCTGCCGCTCCGTGCCGTGTGGCGGTCTGAACGCTGTCCTCCGCCGCCCAGGAGCTGTTCAGGTGCTCCTGCCACTTGAGCATCACGTGGGTCTGAGAAGGCACCATCACTGTACATTATTCACATACAAGAGGCACATAGCTGGAAGAGAGAAAAAAAGAAAAAGAAAATAAAAAATACAGTTCAAGACCTAGCAAAGACATCGGCGTCAATAGCCTTGTGGGCAGTGCACCAACATACAGCGCCGTTGTGCTACTGGTGTCCCGAGTTTGAATCCCGACTCGAGGACCTTTCCCCATTCCACCCCCATATCTCTCTCCCACTTTGCTTCCTGTCAGTTCTGATCTGTCCTTTCATAATAAAGGCGAAAATGCCAAAAATAAATCTTTAAAAAAAAAGACCTTGCAAAGACTTTCAATGCAAGTCCGAAGGTTTCCGGTACAAACCCCACATGGAATGAGACCCTACCATTGTACCCGAGCAAAAAACTTAAGGTGTGGTCACATTTACCATTGCTTTACGAAATGTCATGGGATAATTCCAGTCATTTCAATAGGAATCTGTGTGATTGGGAGTTTTGAATGAGGGTAAAAATATTTTGCCCGAATTCAAGTCGCTCACTCAAATTCACCATATTGACCAACAGGAACCTGCCGGGTTTGAAAGTGACTTATGTGTGAGAGGTGCTTCATGCATCACTATGCTACTGACAATAGACTTTTCTGTCTATAGAAAATAGAACATCTTTTAGCACTTTGCTACTTGGGGAATTACATATTCTAAGTTCATGGAGCTCTTCTAAGCCGAAAGGCTGTGAAAGTTGTTGATTTAAAGGTATAGTTGACCCAAAAATTAAAATTCTGTTATTAATTACTCTCATTTGTTCCAAACCCGTAAGACCTTCGTTCATCTTCAGAACACAAATTAAAGGGGTGGTTCATTGCGATTTCACTTTTTTAAACGTTAGTTACTGTGTAATGTTGCTGTTTGAGCATAAACAATATCTGCAAAGTTACGAAGCTGAAAGTTCAATGCAAACGGAGATATCGTCTTTTAAAATTTTGGCAGTTTAATGCCTACAAAAACGGCTGGTAGGGACTACAATGAGTTACTTCCCGGGTTCATGACATCACAAACCCAGATAAACCCCGCCCTCGGGAAAAGGCAGCAAAGGGGGCGAGGCCATGCTGCACTGCTTTAGAGAAGAGGAAGAGAAAACTAGAGGTGCACGTAAAAATCGATTCATATATGAATCGCGATTAAGTCTTCTAACGATTCTAATGGATTCACAGGTTTCAAAATCAATGTTCAAAAGCAGCGGTTCTCAATACTGTTCGCTACATGAAAAAAGCTACATTAAAGTGATTATTACGTTTTGAATATGGATATTTTTCTTACAAAAACGCATCGATTTGCTACAGGAGGCCGTTTTTCACCCCCCGGAGTAATGTGAGACACTTTTTTTTTATGGATGGGCACGTTTTATTTAACTTCTTTTGGACTGATGCATGCAACACCCGCTGCGTGGCATTAAACAGCTTGAAAGATCAAAGACAATTTTTAATATAACGCTAACTGGAATCGTCAGAAAGAAGAAAGTCATATACACCTACACTGTAAAAAATGATATGATGAAAAAGCCATGACAGCTTATGTTTTTAAGTTACTTTAAGTAGCCACCAGATCCAGTCTGTATCCAAATCAGATGGTCACCCGGATCCAGTACGTATTCAGACCAGATGGTGGATCAGCACCTAGAAA